GATTCGGTGCTCTTTGGGCAACATCCACATTTCCGTTTGGGGTGTATATCAGTTGGACACGGGGCAATTGGACACAGTCCAATCACAAGTCGCTGTTCCAAGGGACCCTACAAATGTCTCTAATCACACGGTGCTGTGATTGGCTGTGTCCAAATGCACCGTGTCCAACTGCACCGCTCCCTTCCGTTTGAACATTACAATGGAGTTTTAAGTAAAATGTTCAAAAATTCTCAAGCTGTACCAGAACAAATATGTAAATCTTATATTAGATTTAAGAATGCTGAACAATTATCTGCAATTGTTTTTTCACGCATAGACTGTTCCGAAGATGCAAGAACACTGTACAACAAAATAAGTGGAGTGTATCGACCTCAACAATGTATCACATACGGAAACTTTTTACGATTATTCGGAACACCAAAAATGATTAAACTATCTTTGCTTGAAAAAACAATAGTAGAAGCTTTTTTAGGCGAACATATTTTAGATTCTGCTGATAGCTTTAAACGATTTATCATAAATAAAATTTTGTGGCATACGGATATATGTAAAGCATTGAAAAAGCGTAATAATTGTACGACTGAATTGCATAATGGTTCTTTTATCATCATACATGCGATGTTAGGTGTTCGTACATAATCCAATGCACAATTGAAATATGTCGTCATTGGAAGACTTTTAGACAGGACTAACACAGAATTGTGCATTACTTCAGATTCTACTATATCATCGAGAAACCAATTTTTTGTATGTTCTATAACTAATACAATTATCGCGATCTGTCCTACTTCATTGCGTAGAAAATGTATCAGAATGCAGTCTTATGTAGGACATGATGACTTCGTTATTACGCGCCTTGTCAACAACATCGAGATAGACTAATAAAGAATTAAGTTTAATGAAGCATACACTTATGTAATTGTGCCACATTATAAATGTAATTGTCATAGAAAATAAATGTTTGTACAGCAAAAATTATATGTAATAATCTGAAAAATGTATTCCTGATAGTAATAATTAATTATCTTTCATAGTTTTTCTATAATAACAATAAGGTATACATGTTTGTACATATCAGCGCATCAAGTGCCACTTCCCAGACAGCACAAAATCTAAAATCGGGACATAAGACGTCTTAAAGACGTCAGTAGTGTCACTTCTGACATTACTGGTGTCACTAATAGTATCACTGCTAACACTAGTAGTGTCACTATCATTACTAATAGTGTCACAATTAGTACTATTAGTGTCACTAACAGTGCTACTATTAACATTAATAGTGTCACTAATAGCACTAATAGTGTAACTAACAGTGACACTGTTAGCACTACTAGTGACACTACTAGAACTACTAGTGATACTGTTAGTAACACTATTAGCACTAATAGTGACACTACTAGCACTACTAGTGATACTATTAGTGACACTATTACCACTAAGGTATTTTTTCGTAAGGGTTCTTCAATTGAGAGTTTTATATTACCTCCATATATAGCCGAAACAATATAATTTTCTTATAATATTATTTAGTATAACAACAAAAATAAACTACTTAGTCCAAATATTTTATTTCAAAGAGAAGACAGAGATATATGCATAAATTTTTTTATGTAAAATATGTTTATCTAGATGTTGACACTACAAGCTCTTTAGAGCGCTGACTGAAAGATGATTATTGCTCTCTACAATTCTTCAAAACATTTGAAACATCTAGTGAATATTACTTAGGATTAATTTTATAAATAATATTAGTAGGTATACTAAGGGGATTCTAATTCCGGTCCTCTGAGGATTTATTACCGGTATTTTTACCAACATATTTATCTATTATTGGTATTTTTACCGACATATTTATGTATTACCGGTATTTTTACCGACATATTTATTTATTACTGGTATTTTTACCAACATATTTATTTATTACCAGTATTTTTACCGACATATTTATGTATTACCGGCATATTTAATTTTCTTTACCGACATAATTGCTAATTTTTATCAACTTTGCGATCTGTTTTTACCGACATATCTTTCTACATATTTTTTATTAACAATTTATATCGACATAATTGATCATTTTATCGGTCCTGCGATCCTCCCCTCTCTGTTTTTTGACGCGTTCGCGGCTTTTCCCTCTCCCTGTTCGCAGCGGTTTGCGAGCAGGCCGCGCCACCCACCCACCTTCTAGAATATTTACGATCTTTCCTCTCTCCAGCCACCCGTCTGCGCGCCGTCTTCTAGAATATTCTCGAATATTCCAGAAAGTTCGAGACATTCTTTTGAAGAAGATAAATCTTTTCAGGTAGTAGCAGAGTTTATCCTCCGAAACTATGCAGCCCCGATAAAAATTTATCTTTAAACATACACTATGCTTTCGAGCTATCGCATACTTATAATATAGTTACATAGATATTTTTCCAAAGATTTGGTTGGGAAAAGGAAGTAAAAGAGAGAAGAGACCTTAATATATTTTTAAAAATGTTTATTTTGTATAATAAAGGTTTATAACTCTCTCCGGCACTAAAACCACCAATTGAATATTTTTAATACATTCTGTAAAGCACAATGTATAATATGATTATTACATCGTAAAATATTGGTTGCATCCAGTTTGTTCAAGGAAACTATGTCCTCGTAATCCGCATCTAAGGTCTCGATGATCAGATTACTTTTCACATTGTCATCCAGAACATTTGCCAGCCATTCTCGCTTTTCACACCTCTTTACGTATACGAGTCTGGGGGCAACGTCTTCATATTCCATATCGCATGGTTTGCCAACCACAGCTGTCGTAATCAAATGCTTGGCTCTGCTGTATGTAATGAGCTCTGCTGTCTTTTATTAAATATTCTTTTCTCATACATACTTTCCAATGTTAGTTGATTTTGCGCACTAAGTTGGTTTGTGGGCTGTACTCAATTACACGATCATGCAGGATCAGACAATATGCGGTAGTATTCGCTGGTATATTCTCTCTACACTCAAATTCTATCCGCACATATATAGTGGCACTCTTGACAGATTCGTTTTGACGCGAACAATCGATAACCACAAAAGGACCTTGCTCCAGAAAGGGAATAGTTGTTATCCATATCTCAGCACTGTTGTATCCATAATACGATTTGCGGAAACGGCTATACATATTGTTGCACTTGCGGGGGAAAATAAACACGTTGTGAAAAGGAAAGAAACAATTAATGCTTTAATGCAAAGCGTGGAACCAGGACAAAGGGAATTCTCAAAAGAGCACGCGTCTACACCGCACGTTAGCCGTCTTTCGACTCTCCATCAGCTATTGTTCTCACAACAACTCCATAGCGACCGTGGCTGTGGGAACTGAGGCTCAAGACTCGCGCACACTTCAAACGCCGCGAGACCGCGTTCGCAACACCGCTTCCCCTCTTCAAAAAGGTTGTCGTCCCGACAACCCGTCGGAAATTTCTTCTCCAGCTATAGGTGGAGGCCAAGCTCCTGCCCTTATCTCAGCTACTGCTGCAGATATTAACGGACATGCTCGCTCTTCCCTTCTACTGAAGATTCCCGGAACAGAATTTTCTTTACATCCTCAAAAGGGGAAATCCTTCCGCTTTGCGTCTTCAGACAAGGGGGGGGGAGGGATAACAATTGTGGACTCAACGATTTCCTGAAAGAGATCTCCCCAAGTCCTCACCTTGGCATTTGCCCTTTGCTCCAGGCAAAGGCTTGCGGGAAAAACCACAACCAAAACCCGCAGGCAAGGTGGACTTCATAGCAGAAAACGAAGCGAAGACCACTAAATGAAATCAATCCCACCCGATTCCACTGTAATAGAAACGAAAAAAAAAGGAGTAAATATTCAACCACTTAATCTTATTTACAACCATACTCTGATAAAAAAAAAACCATTTCAAATAAATAAAAAAAAATCAATCTCTCTCGGAGTAAGAGGCCAATCTATCCAGTTGGACTATCTTATTTTTATGTCTTCTGGAACGACAAATGCAATAAACCACGTCACTAATTTTTTGAAACCACTTCAAAAGGACCTTCCCAAAAATTCTGTAACTTAGGTGCCTTTCCTATACTCCTACGAGGATTATATAACCAAACCTTTTGACCAACTTCAAAAGATAACCACCTTGCGTTTTGGTCATAACGCATCTTTACTCTAGCACTCCTAATCTCCATAGTATCTCTAACACACCAATGAACACCATCTAACTTTTCCCGCAAATTGAAAATATAACTGTTCCCTAAATTGCAACGAGCATTCAAAGGAAGAAAACCACGAAACAAATCCAAAAGCAGTCTTAAATCCCGAGCAAAACATAATTCTGCAGGAGAAAATCCCGTTGCCTCATGTTTAGAAATCCTACATGCTAATAAAAACATAGAAATCCAACGGTTCCAATCTTTTTGATTTTCCGAGACAAACTTAAATAAATATTATAAAATTGTTTGGTGCTGACGCTCAACCTGGCCATCAGATTGAGGATGAAAGGCAGTAGTCCTAGTTTTCTTAAAATCTAATAATTCAGATAACTTCTGAAACAATTTTTATTTAAAATTCCTACCTTAATCGGTGTGCAACTCCAAAGGCACACCATGTCTCGAAACTACCTCCTTTACAAGAACTTCCGCCACCGTACTGGACCTAATATTTTTTAAAGGAAAACTACCCACTTAGAAAAACAATCAACCACCATCAATAAATATCTATTCCCAAAAGAAGACGAAGGTAAAGAACTTAAAATGTCCATCTGAAGACGCTCAAAAGGAGCTCCCACATTAAAAATTTGTAAAGGAGACTTCCCTTTATCCGAAGGACCCCTTTTAGAAATATAAACTTTGCAAAATCTGCACCAATTTTCCACATCCTTTTTACAAGTGGCCTAATAAAATCGACTCGAATTTTATTAAGAGTCTTATTTATTCCGAAATGACCCCCAGAAGGAGAGTTTTCTCCAAGATTCTCTTTACAAGACTACAAGGAACGATAA